GGATTTTAACTGAAATTGTTTAGATAAAATTGGGAAGTTGACATCTTGATAATATTGAGTCTTCTCCATGGACATGGTATGTCTCTCCATTTCTTTAATTTTCTGATTTCTTCCATCAGACTTGTGTAACTTTCCTCATATGGATCCTGTACATATTTTGCTAGGTTTATATCTTAAGTTTTTTGTTTATGGGATGCTAAGCATGTTCATTGCTGGCAATATAAAAAAGCAATTGACTTTTGTATATTAACTTTGTATCCTGTACTCTTGACATTAGTTACAGGAGGGGTTTTTTTGTCCATTTTTTCAGATTTTCTACATAGACAATCATGTCATCTGTGAACCAAGACAGTTTTAGATCTTCTCCTCTATCTGCTCACTTGTTACTTTCTCATATTTGTCTAATTTTAATTATTTTTCTATTTTATGTTTTCAAGTTATAGTTCAATAATTTATTCCAGCATACACTGTTTCATCAAAAGGAGTCTCTTTCCTTTAGTCAAAAGACATATTTCTATTTTATAGTAAAATGTCCTTTAAGCCAAGGCAGTAAGACTTGAAAGAACTGGATAAAATTGACAATAGTTTAGTTTTTAAAAACCAAACAATTATGAAAAAATAGTATACCATGTGATACAGATGTTGAAGTTTAAATTTTGACTAAACTAACATGATTCTTCAAAATGACCTATTGTCAGACTGTGTTCACTTTAACCAAAATACCTGGAGGAAATGCAAATTTCCCCTGATATACGCAGTGAGCGGAGTACAGACGCGGGGGCACATCCAGCACAAGCGCGGAGCGGGACACCTGGCAAAGTGTGGCCTTGCCCGGGTCGGCTCCTCAGCCCGTCCCTGGCTGCCTCCCCTCCCTCACGCGGACGCTAACATCGCCTGCCTGGCGGGCTGCTCCAGAGGCTGCCTGCAGACGCTGCGTGGCAGCGGCGCGCAGAGCAGCGCCCGGTCACGGCCGGCGCTCAGAGCTGCCCACCATCCTTACTGCCCCGGCCCCTGATCTCGCGGGAACTGCCGTGTCGCCACGCTTTTCTTCCCCGCAGGCCTCCCGCAGCTCGTCCCCAAGCAGCCCAGTGAGCTCCCCTCAGTCAGGCCGCTTTCCCCCGTGGCTCAGGCCCCCGCAGGGGCCCCCCTCTCCGGGGCCTGCCGCAGCCTACGCAGCCTGCCCGGCCGGCCCCCTTCCGCTGCCTCTCCTCCCCCTGGTGCCTCCCCTGCCCGGCCAAGCCGGCCCCTCGCCAACCGAGCAGGGATGGGCGGTCCGCCTTGGGGAGCAGACCCCGACCGCCCTGCTCTGCCTGACGCCGCTGGGCGGGGACTGTCCTCCAGGGTCACTTCCGCAGAGAGGCCCCTGCCCACCCTGTACTAGAGCACCCTTCCGACTCTCTCCCTTCCTTGTATGCCCTCAAGTTTCCGCCAGCGGACATTCGCCTCCTAGCTATTTGCTTCTGTAACGTCTTCCCACATAGAGAGACTCACAGGGCAGGCGTTGTTCTCTGTCCCTATTTCCTGCCACATCCCAGCACCTAGAATTGTGCCTGGCACACAGGAGGGAGTCACTGTTTGTTTCTGTACTTCACTGACTACATGACAAATTGTAGAGAATATTCCTATTTTTCTTCTAGGCCCAGTAACCTCATCTCCTCTGGTTGTCAGGATGTATGAATGGTGCCTCGTTACAGAAACAAACAACATGGCCCGTGACCTCAGGTCACGCATGGGTGCCATGGGGCCCAGGAAGAGCCTACACAGCTTTCTTATTCAAATGTTTATAAAACGATACAATGTATCTGTTCACAGAATTTCACATGATGCACTTTCTTGCTGTCCAGGACCCCAAGCCCCTCCTGGCTCGGCCTCTGGAGCCGCACTGCCAGGGCAGCCGGGGCCTGTCAGGAACATAGGTCTCCACCGTCGCCCCGGGTGACAGGCTGGGCCCCCGGGGGACTCTGGGGGGCACCGTGCCTGAGACCCCTGCCCGAAGGAACACTTCCAGGGCTCCGTCCCGCTCTCCGACCTCCCCTCGCGAATCCCAGCACAGCGCGCCCGACAGTCTAAGCCTGAATAGTGTGCTTGGCGCACTTCCTGCCGATGGCGATCGTGACACTGACTCGCACTGGCTGGCGGCGTTTTTTGTCCGTGAGTGCCTGAAAGGCGCCTTCGCGGGTGTTGGAAGCTCTGATTTGTTTCCAGGGCTTCCCCGGCCCTGTGTCTCTGCTTTCGAGACCTCCCACCTTCAGCCGGCACCTAAATCCCCGCCCCCCGGAAACACACAGAAAGTGGGGTGGTTTCTCTTAAATTTCTTCCTTTAAGGAAGAGGTTTTCAAACCTTTTGTAACCAGAGATGTTTTTCCCCCTGATGAAATGTGTTGCAGGTGCATAACGTGTAAGGGAGGTAAACAGGAGGCCGCTCTGGCCTGGTGGACCGGCTCTGTTCGCCCCCCTTCCCTTGACCTGCCTCCCTCCCCTCGCTGGGCTGAGGGCAGCAGGCAGGTGGGACCTGCAGCTGCCAGGCTATGAAGCCTGTGCTGCAGGGAAGGGTTTCGCAGAGTGCGGTCGGCACCAGGGCTCCCGGGCCTCTCCCTCGGCCACTGACTCGGGGGCTCCGGTCCTGGGGTGCGCAGGAGCTGGCCTCCGCAGATAGCCCTGCACCCTCGAGGCTGCACATTGCTGCTCTGGGAACTCGGGCCGGTTGCTTTTGGTAAAGGGAAGGAAACCCACACGCAGGGTGTTTGCCCATAGCCATTCCTAACTATCCCATCCAGAGTATTACATGCACTCAGGCACCAAAAGTACCGAGACATTTTTAAAAGGTAAAGTAATGTTTTCTCAGAATAGCTTTCAGTAAAGCATTAGATCTAACAGTTAGATACACAGAAGTTCTGATGAATGGCTCGCTGCATTTACCCTGTTAAGGAGTTTCGTGAACTCTTATCGCCACTCTTCGAGCAGACTGTGGGGACACTACAGTAAATCGGCAGCTGCCCTGCCCTCAGAACACAGCGCATGTGCAGAAGGCGGGACAGAGAGAGTGCCGACTGGGGCAAGAGCTCTGAGACGGCCGTGGTTCCTTCCGTTCTGAAGGTTAAGGGCCGACCCTCGCCACCTGGTGTCCCAGCCAGGGACGCTAGCCCGCCCCTGGCCCGCAGAACACACGCACGGCTGGAAACCGGGGTGAGAGGCGGGCGCCTGGGGCCGGCGTGGGAGGAAGGCCAGGCCGTCCGCTCACAGGGCACAGGGGAGCTGCCCCTGAAGGCCGGCCGCGGGCCTTCTCTGTGGTCTTGCTGGGGCCGTGCGCCCGAGTCAGAGACCGTGTCCCGACCGAACATTCCCAGCCACCCCTCAGAAACGGCCCCTCCGCCTGGTTCTTTGTTCTCCTATCAGAGGTAAGGATTCCCATCATGGGTGTTCTGCCACCTGATCCCAAAGTCCTCGTCTCTGGAAACTGCTTTTTATATTTAGCCTGTGCCGCGTGATGGGCAGCGGCCGCGCATCTGCGCCCCAGCTTTACTAACCCTCGGCCCAGCACCCCGGATTGTGTTTCATCCACCCACAGAGGAGTCTTCACAATGCCGCCAGCTAAAATTATATTCTACTCAATAGCTGCCTCTATCTATTATGTCCCTTTTAGGTTTCGTGTTTTCTTTTGTGCTTTAATTAACGTAAAACATATTTATTGCATGCTCTATTTCAAAATTCCACTTTATTTTCTCAGGTCTGGGTGTACGGCACATGCTCCCCCCCGCGCAAGAAGGGGTGTCCTTTCTGTGACTTACAGCATTAATGACAGGGCACCTCCGCGGGGCTTGTCTGTCCTGGGGCGTCAGCGCCCGGCCACCTGGGCGCCCCCGAGGGTGCTCCTTGCGGCTGTCCTTCTGGGAGCACCGGGCGCCCTGCGGGCCTGGGCCGGACGTGCCCGCTAACTCCCCGCTCTGGGCCGCGCGGGCGCCGCGGAGGGCCGGATCGGCCTCGTTTCCCCAGCTTCTCACACGTCTACCCCGCTTCTCCAGGGCGCTTTTCCGGCTCTGAGGGGCCCGCGGCCTGGGAGGGGCGGCCCCGCTCCCTCCACAGCCACCCCAGGACCCCGGGACGTCCGCTCTGCCCTCTCGTCCTGGGTTTGTCCGTCCCTCCATTTCTGCACAGCAGTGCTGTTTCTACTTTCCCCTCGTCCCTGGAAATAAGTGTTCTGTTTTGGGGGACAATGTTATCTGTGATTTTTAAATTTAGTGAGTTTGGCAACAAGACTTTTCATATCATTTTAGGTCTCCTGCTTGCTGGTTCCAGAGCTTGCTGGCACTGTGGAAGCCGTCCTAGCCCAGAACCGCCTGTGTCTCCTCCTCTAGTACATGGAGAGAAACAAATGCCAAAAATTATCCTGTTGTGCCTTCAACTATTTAGATTGGAGAATAAAAGACTAAATAAAGCATATTAATATTCTCAAAATAGCAAAAGGACCTCCGTCCTTGCCAGAGAAAAGCACGTTGCAACGGGCGGTAGCATGAAGAGAAGGAAGGAGCTTTCGCCCCAGCGTGGGATGGACATCGTGACATGCTGGCTTAGAACCCGTGAATGAGGGACTGACCGCTAAAGTTCTCGGTCTGCCTTTTAAAAGGTCTCTACGTCATCAGAATTGTAATCAACCAAAATGGTTTTAATGAAGTAAGAAAGAGAAGGAAAGACAAAGCGGAGCGGGACATCCGTGCCCCCGAGTCCGGTGTTTGGCCGCAGCACACAGCACGTGTCCCCGCCAACCCCAGCTCCTCGAACAACAACGGAGAACTGTCCCCGTGCTCACAACGCCTTCTCATCCCTTACGTGCCTTCTCAACACGGAAACCCCTGATTGGACGTGCGCATACCCCCCGCCCCAGCGCGGCCTCCCCCCAGGGACCGCAAGGTACCGTGAGCGGCAGAGACAAGGGGGCCCTTCCCGATGGACACGTTACTACACAGGCGCTTCGCCGGCCACAGGCGGGGCCCTGTGATTACCTGCGCGTCCGGCGGGCGGCGCATCGCTCTGCCGGTCGTCATCCAGAATGGCAGCCAGACCCACCGTGTCGGTCGGGAGGACAGAGCCGCTGAAGTCCACGCGAGTCAAGCTCTCGGGCCCCCTCTGAGAGGCCCCCGCGGTGCTCCGGGGTTGCGCCCCGCCAGGGGGGGTCACTTCCTGGCCTCCTCTCCTGGGTCTCAGCACCACGTGGACAATGCTCTGCTGGTCCAGGTCGCAGCTCTGCATGGGAACAGAGGACAGGCACACGATCAAATGCTGGCATCAAAATGCAGAGTGAGGCCGAGCTTGCCTGTTCTCCTAGGGTGAGCAAGAGCCTCGAGTCTGCTTCTCTACCATGTCCACAGGCAGCCACGGACCGAGAAGGAGGGCGGCATGTGTGCCGGGTCACCCTTACCTGCCAGAAAGGCCAGCGCCCTCACACGTGTGCCCATTCCACCAGTGCCGCTGAGCTGTGCCTGAAGCTATGAAATGGGGGGAATGACAAAAACGCCACCACAAAAACCGAAGCGAGGTTCACAGAGACAGGAGCTCTAGGAGACAGAAAAATGCACCGACCGCAGTAAGAGGTGGCATTCGGTTAAAACGGATTCAGTCCAGGAGAGGTAGGGCCTTCTGTAATTACCCGCCCACACCCTGGCCTTCCCCTCAGCTTCAGGAAGCACGGAGTTGGTTATTATCAAGCACGGGGCATGTTTCTCCAGAGTTTATGATAGATGGGCTGACGGCGGACTCCACCCACACCTCCTGCGTCACAGCCAGCACAACGCCACCCCAGGGGGCCCCAGGCGTCATGCCCGCTCCGTCCGGTTTCACAGGTGAAAAATGGGACCGTGTACAGAAATGTCCTGCATCTCGCTACTGACGCATATGAACAGGAGACTCGAACGTTCAGTGGAATAAGGTTAGAAGCCAGAGCATTTGCCAGGACAAAACCCAGACCCCTAGAAATGAAACCCCAGTTCCGGAATACCCACTAGCCAGAAGGCGTCGCGCGTCTGTGTGCCCTGCCTCCCACACACCCCTGATGTCAATGTCTGCAAACCGCCTGTTGCCATGCCCTCTCATTCAAGGACACCCAGGTAAACCACAACGGTAATTTTAAAAGTGACAAACCCTGCCCGCTGTCCCCCGCCAGCGCTCCCTGGCCTTCGCCGCCACGCTTCCCAGAGCGGTCCCATTGCTCCCAGGCACTGCTTGCCATCTGTCCCCTGCACTCCAGGAGGTCGCTGGGATGGGTGCCTCTGGTCCCAAATGCCATTCCCACCAGTGGGCAGCGTTCCCCAGGGCCCGGAGGACGGGAGAGGAGGCCGACCACTCGAGCCTCCCACGGAGAGCACGTTCAGGGAGCTTAGAAACAAGGCGCATCTTGGACTGTGGGAAGACCGGGAGGCAGCCTCTGCTCCCGCCCCTTGAGGCCCGCTCCAGGGGCCTGCAGCGGCTGCCTCTCCCCTCCGCATCTCTCCGTAGCAGACGCGACTTCTGTCCCATGGACCCGCTTGCCCCTGGCCACCTGTCCCCCAGCCCCGAGGCTCTCCCCAGGGCAGCTCCCCCTGGGCCTTGGTCACTTGTTAGTCAGCCATTCTCCACGCCCACCTGACTTCCCTATTCCCGCCAGAGCCCCGCGCTCCCCATGGTCCCCATGTGCCGTGACCTCCTCTCCCACCAAAGACCCCGGCTACCCACCTGCGTTTTCTGAGAGCTTCCCAGAGTCAGTACCTTGGACTCCTGCAGGTGCAGCAAGCACCAAGGGTCGCTGACCGGCTCAGAAACACACCGCTGTCTCCGCGCTGTCCCCGCCCACCGCGCGCCTCCCCGCCCAGCAGCTGCGGAATTGCTGCCATCCCTCCGTCTCTCCCCGCGGTCCACTGCGTGCAGGATCGCGTGCTGCGCGACCTCCCCAAATGCCTCTGTGTGGCCTGCGACACGGGTCTGCCTCTCATCCGGGCCCGCAAGGCGCACAGACTCCTCTCCTTTCTGGATCAGCTGCCCAAGGCCTTTCCTCTGCTTTCCTTCTCCCCTTCACTGTCTAAGGGGCGGGCTACATGATTCTGTCACAAACATTCACTTTCCTCTCCCCTCTCCGCCCTTGAATTTGGGAGCCGATGTGATGGAGCCAGCGCCTTCCAGGGCGCTTGCACCACCGCTGGCCATCACAAGGGGACCCTGCCTCCTTCCTGCCTCCTCAGCCCGGGCCCCGGAGCTGCACAGGTGACAGGGCCGGAGTCCGGGCCCAGCCGCAGCACCCCCTGCAGGGGAAGAACCTTCCCGCTGATAGCGGGCAGGGCCCCAGACCCCCCGCTGGCAGAGACGCTTCTGAACGCACGGGCCTGAGATTCGGTCGCTGTGCGTTGGGCAGCAGCAGCTGACAACGCTGTTTCCCGTTCTCGTTGGACCGGCAGACGCTGCTGTCACTCATCATCGCCTCAGTGCGCAGCCAGCAGCACGCCAGGTGAAGGGGCTCCCATGTTGGAAGACTTTTCATCTCAGGCAATAGCTAATAAGCTTAGTAATCGATGCATGTAACAAGTTACTATTCCAGAACTGAGGTATGACTCACCCTGACTCCCCGGGAGACCACAGGCAGCCCCACCTTTGTGCCCCGGGAGGACAGCAAGCTGTCAGGAAGGGATCTGAGCCACTGTGCTCCAGGGAGACGCCCACCGCCCAGGGCCCAGAGGAAAGAGTGCCGCAGCTTTGATCTGATTAACTTTCTCCCTGAATTCCAGTCCCCCTAACTGCACTTCTCTTCTCCTTATAAAAAGGATTAGTTCAAAATGGAGTTTACAACGGTCTGTTAGGGTACACACCTGCCCTCTTCTCCAATCGCCAAACATCTGAATAAAGCACCCATAGAGATCCAACCCCTGTCTCTGCGTATTGGGTGTGGTAGGTGGCAGGCAGCAGGAACACCGGCTTGTCAGGTTTCATAGGCCCCGGAGAGAGACTTCAGCCCCAGTTCCCAAGCAGCCAACACCGACATCGGGTCTGAGTCCCTCCAAGGCCTCCTGCGAGCAAGCACGACCCTTGACCCTTGACCCTTGTGGGGCCGCTGCGGAGACCCAGCACCTACCACAGCCTGGGGCCTGCCCGCATCGTGTTCTCTTCCAGGAGGCTCTGAGCTCAGTCCGATCACCTTCCTCCTCTGGGCCCCTCCCAGGTGAAAGCAACCCCTCTCTCTCAACTGAATCCCAACCCCCGTGGCCGGGGGTCCCCCCTTACAGCGGCGGGCAGCGCCTGGGCAGCCTGGGGCGCATCTGAGCTCCCGCTTCACTCAGACGCCCGCCCAGGAGAACACGCATGGGCGCGCCTCTCTTTTTATTCACCAAGGGCCTCACGGGCGCAGTGGAGCCGGGAGACGCAGAACAGGGGTCTAGGAGCTGGGGAGGGGAGTGACAGGGGAGAATGCACGATGAGCAAGGATGAGCAGTCACAAACCCAGCACTGATGTGTGGGGTCCCAGGAGACTGTGGGAGACAGAACGCGGGGGTTAAAGCCAAAAAGGTGATTTATTAGCCGTAGGGTTAAGCATTGTGATCTATTAGCTGTATGGTTTTCAGCAAGTTACTTCTTTTCTCTAGGCTTCAGTCTCTACATCTGCCATAGGCACTAATCCTACCAACTTTGAAGGCTGAGCTGAAGAGTTAAGGAAATACACACAGTGCAAGACCCTGGTCCACAGTAACAACTGACTACAGAGTGGTTGGTATCGTCACTGTCATCTAGGAGTTTTGGAAATGAGAAGGTGGCGGCGTAGGCAGACGGGGTGCATTTCTTCACATGACCCCATCAAAATCACAACTAAAATATAGAACGACCATCACTCAGCAACATTAGAAATCAAGTTGAATGGAAGTCTGACAACTACGAAATCGAGCCAAATGGAAGTCTGACTCAATGGAATTGAAGAAGCCACATCCATCCAGACTGGCGCCACAGAACGGGCTGGCCGCTCACCCACGTAGATAAAAATTGGGGAGGGCTATCTGCAGAGTGAGGAGTCCCAGTCTCACACCAGCTCCTCCAGCCCAGGATTCCAGTGCTACAACTTCCAGTGAGGAAGATAAGTCCCCGCAACTTCTGGCTGTGAAAACCAGCAGGGACTGTTGGTGGAAGAGGCTGCCAGAGCCCTAACCACTTTGCTTTGGACTCACCTACGCAGACTCGCTCCCTCTGAGCTCCAGCACCAGGGTGCTGGGCACCAGTGGCCTACAGGGAGACTGAGGTGTTTGGCTTCGCGGCAAGCAGGGGCCATTGTCCCTCTGCTGGGCCCTCCCCCCACAGAGCCAGGAGGCTGGTGCCATTTCTGAGACTCCATCAGCCTGGCTAACACTGTGTGACTCCACAGAGGCTCTACCCCGCCCAACTTATAGGCCGCCCCCCACTGCTTTTCCCCAGCAATGGCTGCTTGGCCCCTGAGTCCTATCAAACGAGCAGCAGCGGCTTCAGTGAGCCTTAGCAGCAGCCAGATTACAGTCGCAGCCTGGCTGCGCAGCCCCTGAAGGCCGGTGCCGGCTCCGGCCATGGCCGACTCGGCTCCCTCCAGATCCCGACACCCCAAGATGACATCACGTGTCCCCCAGTACCGAACTTTTCTGTGTTTCTCTCTGTCACCAGACTGGGCCACCTTCAGGAGAAGAGCCTGGGCCTTTCTGAGGCCATGTGGACAGGTCTGCGGTAGGGACCTGTTGACACCGCGTGCTCCCCCTGGGCTGTGAGGCGACCTGCTGACCTTGTGAGGCCCAGTCCTGCTGAGGTGGCCGTTTCAGAGGGGAGGTCACAGTTCAGAGGGTTTGAGTAACCCCCACAGAAGTACAGGTAGACTCTGCAGCCATGTGTTCTGTTTCTAAGCCCCCCGCTCTGTCAAGAGCCTGCGGGGCCTCTCCGCCTGAGCTATTGACACAGGCAGACAGGTTAACCAGAACCTTCCGTCTCATCAGCGTACAGGTCAGTCTGCACTCATCAACAACTGCTGCACCAATTTCTGTGCTATTTAAACTGGGCTGAGTTAACATCAATGTCTTCAATATTATTCATTCATTTTCAGTTCCAAGTCTGTTCAGGTCCATTGCATCAGACAAAAATGCTAAAATTCTTTCATTTGGCAGCCACAATGCTACCTACTGTGAACTAACTTTCTATTTTCATTTGAATTTTAATAGCACATGATTCTTTTTCCTAGAAAAGTGATAATGATTTGTCAAGAATTATCAGATGAAGGA